GATCAAGGTCGCTGTGCTAGATGTGCAGGAATTGACGTACGAGGGTGAGTTATCAAAATGAGCGTGGGGACATTGAGCTCCATATATCGATCAGTTATAGACTCATAACTAACCTCCCCAGCTCCCCCATCCGTGCAGTACTTCCACGCCGACCTCGCCTCCCCGTCCTCCATCGCCAGCGCCGCCTCGGCCATAAAATCCGCATTCGGCGCCCCCACAATCCTCATCAACAACGCCGGCTGTGCGCGCGGCAAGACCATCCTCGACTCGACCGAGCACGACGTCAGACTCACCTTCAACGTCAACACGCTATCGCACTACTTCCTCGCCCACCAGTTCCTGCCCTCCATGGTCGAGCACAACCACGGCATGATCATCACCGTCGCCTCGCTAGCCTCGTACCTCATGGCGCCCGGCATGGTCGACTACGGCGCCAGCAAAGCCGCCGCGCTGGCCTTCCACGAGGGCCTCGCTGCTGAACTCGCCACGGCGTATAAGGCGCCTAGGGTGCGGACTGTGGTCATGTGTCAGGGGTATACGCGCACAGCGCTGTTTGAGGGATTTGGTGGCGCGGTGTTGTATCCGGAGACGGTGGCTGAGGCGGTTGTGAAGGCGGTGTTGAGGGGTAAGAGTGCGCATATCGTTGCGCCGGAGAGTAGCTGGATGTTGTTGCCTAAGGTGAGGGGGTGGCCGGTTTGGATGCAGTATGGGTTTAGGAAGAGGTTGGATGGTTTGATGAGGAATTGGAAGGGGAGGCAAGTTGTGCAGCCGAGTCTGCAGGAGGTGGAGGTGAAGGAGAAGGAGGCGGAGGAGAGAGTTGAAGAGAGTGGCGTGCTCGTACAGGGGGCCCAGTGAGGTGGTGTAAGTGGTATATGCACAGAGTGTGCGTTGCGGCTGATGCCGGTTTTGCCAGGCTACAATCTGGGAGCTTCCAAGTTTCTTAGTGCTCCATTGCATATAGTTCAATATGATGTGTACAAACTGGGTAGGGCCTATCTAAGACGTGTAAGTCCGACCATGATTGCAAGGACGGGGTGGAGGAATGATAAGGTGGCTGCTCAACGGGTAAGCCTTCGTTGAACATCTCCATCTCAAGGCTAACAAATGATAGTGTTGTCTACAAGCCGAAGCTGTGGCACACGTCGCAGAATGATGACTCAGACCGGTCAGCAATGCATGGAGTGAGGGACATTCGCATGAGGTATGAGCCAGTGAAAGCGATATGTTGATTTCTTCAAGAAAACATGGCTGTTATGGAGACGCGGTGTTGGTTTGTTTGTACCTCGAGCAATTTTCGCACACCTTGCACAACACGCACACTGCCTTCCCATTATACATGTTTACGTTCTTTGCATATCACAACGCTCATCTTTTCATGTCTGGCTTGTCTTGCATGCCTCAACACTAATCCTTCCTTCAATCTAGAGCCCGCAATTGCAATCGACATCGTCTCCGACGTATCCGGAGATGAGCGCTACACGAAGTCTTGCCTCGGCGTACGTGGAGGCTGCGAAGCAGACTGAAATAGATGGTCGTTTAGAAACCCCCAGTTCCCAGTTTTCTACATTCACGTTCGCTGAAGAATTCGCCTTCCTATTTCCGCACGTGAACGATATCCGCAGGGAAGCCTTCTTCCATAATTTCCTCGACCTTTATCCCCATCACAAATGGACGATAGACGAAATTGAGGACAATGCACGCTACCATCTGGACTCCCTCTTCAAATTGCGAGCGATCCTGGAGTACATAGTGGTGAGGTTCGAAGACGTAATTCGGAGTCGTTGGATGAAGAAATCAGCGACCCAGCGAAAGCAGATCCTACTCGAAGCATGGCCTGGTATTGCACCGAAACATCGTCCTGATCTGTATAGATATCTTGGCTCAAACCACTACCAACAAAACTGGAAGGACGAGTGGGCGAAGTGCCCATATATCAACTTGGAAGATCTCACAACGTCAGATCTGGTTTTGTCTTTCCTACATTCCCGCGGACACAATCCGCCCCACAAGTTCGCATATACAGATATTCAGTATGCACCAGTCTACACAGCTCCAGAGACTGTCCTGCCTAATGGAATGATGGGCCTACCCAACTACACTATAGCACTTGCCGGTCGAGATACCCCAGATACATATGGGCGCTTGGATGCATGGGACAACGCAAAAGATGCTCTTGAATTTCGGCTCCATGGGCACGGACTGCTCCCAGATGCTGGCCTGCAAGTACTAGAGATACAACAAAATATCTGGGGTTTTCTAGTATCCTTCTGCAAGCGAATGCTTCAGGACTTCGAGCTAGTCAATGGTGCGCCGGCGAAACCGTTATGTCCTCCCCTTACACTTAGTGATAAGTATATCACGGCGGATTCTGTTGCGAAAGCCAAGCCCTACCTAGTTCCCGGGTGTCTGAATTTGGCAAGACTAAAGACCCTCATACATGCTCGGCGCAGTCTCGCAGAAGATCACATTTGGTCGCTCCGCGAGGATCCGGGCTATTTCGCAGATTCTGTCCGAGACTACAAGAATTATGAGATGCGGTTTCCCTCGTCAAGCACGCTTCTGAGAGCGTTGATCACGGATGCTTATTACCACTTCTACCTTTGGAGTATACTCTATCGTCGCATTGCGTCTCTCCACGAGCTCTGGCCGGAACATCTCGGAGAGGTCGTATGCGTGCGAGATCTACCAGATAGCTCTCTCGAGGCCTTCGAAGAGACTTACGTGCTCATTGAGATCACAAGTGTGGAGTTCATCAAACACTTTTCGCGGGGTTTCAAGGTCATGAAGATGCGCACTGGCGCCACGCACGGCATTGTTTCATCCACATCGTCTGAGCATATGCAGATACGAAAAACCTATGTCGAACTGTTGGACAAGCTGAGGAGCAAACCTACCCGGGACGACTTTGGACTTCACGCGCTGTTGGATGAGATGGAACATCTTACGCACAAACACCCGTTTCTTGGATCTGAACTGTCCCCTTGGGCGGCTGCAGAGATATCAGATTTGTCCATCTTGGCTGAGTGCCAGCAAGAGATCCATACATACCAGCCATTAGCGTACAGGATCGAGTACGGTGCTCGCCAGCGGAGACCTGAATACATCCATAAATGGATGGACAGCATGAAAGATTGGAAGGCCATCTCCACCGCCATGTTCACCACTGACAAGATCGCTCGCCTGGGAGACTTGGCCGACAAAAAGTTCTACTATCCGACTGACAAGACCCCTACCCGCAAAATTGTAGACCTTCTCAGATCCGCCGAGGGCTCTTTAGATCGGTTCTGGGAAGCTGTCGACAAACACTACCTTCGGACAGTAAAGGTGACACCTCACGACCTAGTACGAGACCTGCTCACCGAAGGGCGCATCGTCCACAGAACCCCCGCCGACCTCGAGCCCGAATTACCTGTCAAGCGGGGTAAGAAGCAATCGCTAGGTCCATACGAGCCAATCTTCGAAACCACGCACGAGGAGTCCAAGCAGATAACCGGCATCTTCAACAAACTCTCCCTAAGCGCCAAACTCAAACCGAAAACCCGCGGTCCCGCCACCCCTCTCCCTGCAATCCCCACCTCTCCAACCACCATACATGAATCAATTTCAGACGCCAACCAGTCTCCGCCCCCGCCCCCGCCCATCATAGAGGTAGACAAGCGCGCCCACCGCGTCTTCAAAGCGCTCTTCCGCTCCCCCTCAACGCCCGGCCGACCTGGCGAGATCCCTTGGACCGAGTTCTTGCATGCGATGGCGTCGACGGGGTTTTCGATTGAGAAGCTGCATGGCTCGGCTTGGCAGTTTACGCCGATGAGGATGCATGTGGAGCGCTCGATTCAGTTCCATGAACCGCATCCTAGTAGTAAGCTTCCGTTTGCGTGGGCGAGGCGCATTGGGAGGAGGTTGGAGAGGACGTATGGGTGGAGGGGGGAGATGTTTTGCGTTGTGTGAATGGTTGTGGTGAAGGAGGTTGGGTGGGTTTGTTGGGGTTGTACTTGTGTGGTGGTTGGGTGGGCGAGGTGCGCCTTGCGGATTTCTCTGTGTAGATCATCGTGGTTTTTGGACGGGTACTTGATTTTTTTGTCGAGTCTGCACCTGCAGGTGTGTGTCAGTATTTCGAGTCTCAGAGACCTGTATTCAAAGGCTGATGGGTCATGATAGATGCTAATCCTATCTGTAATAGCGCAGCGAGAATAAAGAGCAAGCACTTCAATCTGAGGAAGCTGTCACAGAAGCGTGGCCAGACGATATTGAGAATCAGTAACTACACATACCCAGGTATGTAAGTCGTTGCCAAGTACCATGCCACATGACCTAAGAATAGAGAGGAAGGCATGAGCGTCTCCACCTTCTTCATGCGTTGCCACTTCTTCTGGTTCATCAGCTTCAAATCCCTCTATATTTTGCTCGAAATCTTCGCATGGCGTTTATATTTCCCTGACTGTATTCATATTGGAATAGATCATCCGAGTGGGGATATCCCAATCTTGCTAGGAAGGCGCTTGGGAAGGAGGTTGACTAGGGCGTATGGATGGTGTGGCGAGATGTTCAAGCTGAAGTAGGCGGGGGTATCTTGTGATATGTATCACATGTGTGGTGCATCAAAATGCTCCGCTGTCAACTGCCATGTCAAAAAGGCAAGAACGAGGATTTCGGTATTTGTCTGGAAAAAAAATATCCCTGGACGAGTGTTATTTAGTAGCGTTTGAGCAAATTGACCTTAGAACATACTGGGAACACATAGCCCCTTGCTTAATGCTAAAATATTTGACGTTACCGAGGAGTCTCGAGGGATGTTTATAGTATTGACCATGCGTTCCCCCTCTGCGTGTACTAACGTCCACGACAACAAATCATTCCAATCGGCATGATCAAATCGACATGGTTTCACGATATCGAAAGTAGAAGACAAAAAATACCCTGGCACGACATACATCAGAGCCTCTGTTGCTCACTTCCGCAAAAGAAGCAACACCTCGAAAGGTCAAAAAGAATAACGGATGCTCCCCCGGGTGGGCTCGAACTTCGGGCATGTCAGCGGCGACGTCTATATACTATCTCTTGGATGCGATTGACTTACCCACCAACCTCCTGATTAACAGTCAGACGCGCTAGCCAATTGCGCCACGGAGGATGAAAGCGTCGATTTGATGCTTGATGAATTGTGAGGTTTGGCAACGGTTAGGAAAATAATATACACTATCAACTAGCGGTATCAGGCTGAATAGCAACGATAACAGGAGGAAGGATAGCATGGCCGGCTTACCGCTTGTTTTAGAGGCATGAGGCGGGGTCTTGAGTGCGTGGATAGCCGGTTGCGGGGCTGCTGGAGGATGGGGTGCGGTTCCTACTGGTTGGGGTCATGATTTGTACCACGACCGAATGACATGGAGGCTCTCAGGCTCGTCCAACAGTTTATTTTTATATTGAGGATATCTATCACTGTACAGATTCAGGTAAGGTTTTTACCATTTGGTCCGATAGGTACATAGAAGTATCGAGCCGTATACCCTAAATGTATCTAAAGTTGTAGGCCAGGAAGCCAGCAACTAGGTTTTCGAGTTATCAAGCTCCATGATAATGAAACATGCCTCGATTACCAAGTTCTGGCCCCTGGAAATACTAGATTGCTGCTTGCAAGACTCAGTGATGCTCGAGTGGTGATGCCGGATGCGCCAGCCTAGGCCCACCGTGGATTAGCGCCTCGGCTACGTGCCAAGATTTCTTCCGACACACCAAAAATTCGATGCGCAGACCCTAGACAACCTCAAGCACAACTCTACCGGAGCGCAACAACATCCCAGGAAACAACAACACACTTCCTGAGCGCAAAGATGGCCCCCAAGAAAGCTAAGAAGACCGCCGACTCGATCAACAGCCGTCTGGCTTTGGTCATGAAGTCCGGAAAGTGAGTATCGCGCCGCCCTTTGCCTTGAGCATGTTGCTAACCGCATTGACAGAGTCACTTTGGGCTACAAGTCAACCCTCAAGAGCCTGCGATCCGGAAAGGCCAAGTTGGTATGTCGAGGGAATCTCGCTATGCTGCGAAAAGTAAACTCACAATCCCAGGTCATCATCGCCGGCAACACGCCGCCTCTGCGCAAGTCTGAGCTCGAGTACTACGCCATGTTGTCCAAGACCTCCGTCCACCACTTCTCCGGAAACAACGTACGTTCTTCTCCCCCGCCATTCTCATGGCCCAACGACGAGACATCCGACGAGGTTCTCCGAGGGCTGGCCCTGAGAAGAGGTCTATTATGACTTCGGAGGGCTGTCAACTAACTCGTTCGAATTTCAGATTGAGCTTGGCACCGCTTGCGGTAAACTCTTCAGGTGCTCCACTATGTCTATCCTCGACGCTGGTGATTCCGACATTCTCAGCGCCAACCCGACTGCGTAGACGTGCGTGAGAGGAGGATTCGCTTCGGGCACGTAGATTCAAGTAGCGCGTCGGCAATGACTGTGCTAGATACAATGCAATGAAAATACCATGCGCCACTGCGGCGGCCTGAAACTGTGACTCTTCTTTGTGCTGTACGCGCTGCTTCGGTGACTGGTGAACATTGAAATCACTGCTTGGAAATCAAGCCGCCAAGACCGTGCACTCGGTTATCGCCCGAAATGGCTTAGCGGGTGGCGCTCCCACAATCGCCGGATTCCTAAGCACAACGTCGTCTACCTTGAGTTTGTTCCTGATCTCTTTCTCCCCACCACCATATAAGCCAGGGTAAGTCCAACCTACGCATTCTCTCTACTCCTAGAGGGGCTCTTCACGCACACGCTCGCGCAGTAACGTCTCCTCCCTTCAGCGAAGCGCCCGTCGAAGTCGCAGTGTATTGATTTGAAATCAGATTCAAAAACCGACACAATGGCCCGAAGACCCGCTCGTTGCTACCGGTACTGCAAGAACAAGCCGGTATGTTAGGAAGGGAAAGATATGTGCAAAGATGGAACTGCAGGACTAATTTTGCGTTCTCCAGTACCCCAAGTCCCGCTTCAACCGCGGTGTACCCGACCCCAAGATCCGCATCTTCGATCTCGGCCGCAAGCGCGCCAACGTCGACGAATTCCCGCTATGCATCCACCTGGTCTCCAACGAGTACGAGCAGCTCTCGTCTGAGGCGCTCGAAGCCGCCCGTATCTGCGCCAACAAGTATCTCGTCAAGACAGCCGGAAAGGAAGGTTTCCATCTCCGCGTCCGCGCCCACCCTTACCACGTCGTCCGTATCAACAAGATGTTGTCGTGCGCTGGTGCCGATAGACTGCAGACGGGCATGCGTGGTGCCTTCGGCAAGCCCAACGGTACTGTTGCTCGTGTGAACATTGGCCAGATCATTCTCTCTGTCCGAACGAGGGATGCCAATCGCGCTACCGCCATCGAGGCTCTCCGACGATCCCAGTACAAGGTATGTTGTAATCATGTCTCGGGTCGAGTAATATACTAATTGGTTCGAAAGTTCCCCGGCCGCCAGAAAATCATCGTCAGCAAGAAGTGGGGCTTCACCAGTCTTAACCGCGATGAGTACGTCGAGAAGCGCCAAGAGGGCCGCGTCAAGGTCGACGGAGCCTACGTCCAGTTCCTCCGCAACAAGGGCAACCTTGCGCAGAACATGCGCCGCTTCCCAGATGCCTTCGAGGCATAAGCGATTTCGTGGAGCGGAGTGGTGATTCGACATGCATTGGGATGAGGGATACCGGCTATGGCGTGTTTGCTCCTTATCTTATTTTTGAAGTCATGGAGGATGGTTTCAGTGGCGGACTTCTGCGGGTCAGCTGTAGACTATGGCCGAAAAAGATAACCTGACAATGACAATGACAATGCTATACATCACCAGACTTGATACGTGCTGTTTGAAGAGCCGGCTTCAGGTATCTCGATTGAAAAGCTTTTTGACTACATGACAGAATTACACATTAGGCTCTCTTCTTCTCTGGGGTATCTTTTTTCGGCCTACAAATTCCTCTTCCCCTATCATAACACTAGTTCACTCCATTCAATGACCTTGGCTTCCACCCTACTGCGCCTAGATTTGCAAAACATCCACCCTCCTACGCAGTCACAGTGACCGTCGCCGTAACAGTTTCCTTCTCCGTCGTCGTCACCGTCTCCGTAATCGTGAATATCTGACTCGCCGGAATCGGCGTCACGACCAGTCTGCTCTCTGACGTTGAAGTCGGAGCAGCCGTCGACGATGGCGCGGGTGCGGGCTCGAGATCGGATTCCGTGATCGTTGGGACGAGGCTGGGGACTGAAGATGAAGGTGCCGGATTGGTGGAGGGGACCACGGTGATTGTTATGGCTGGTGGGAGGGGAATGGTAATATATGTCGTTGTTGTGGATGTAGATGTTGATGTGGATGTAAGGTCTGAGTTTTGCGGTTCGAGGGTTGTTGTGAGGGGTGTGGATGAGACAGAAGATGGAATGGAGGTTGGAGGTGTGGTACATGGTTCCGAGGCTGGATTTGCGGGTTGGATTGATGAAGCTGTGGGGATGAGGGTTGTTGGTTCTGGGTTTGTTAGTAGGGCGGTTTTGGAGAGAGGTGAGGGAGGGAGATATTGGGGTTGCTCGGAGAACTTGACGCACCGGCTTGGAATGTGGTTCCTGGATGCAACGTTATGATCTGTGGTGTGCTTGCCGTAGGTATCGATGCGGGAAGACCTGAAGGAAGGGAGGCCGTGGCCGATGTAGCATCCCGCGCCGCGGTCGTGGTAGGCGCTGGAGCTCGAGTGGCGCTGGCAATTTGGGAATCCGATACTGCTTGTGTGGTGGTCTCTGGATCGTATGAAAAGGCCGGGGTTTCGGTCGATTCGCTGCCCGAGGTAGCCTCCGTGGTAGATATCGTTATCGTATGAATATCAGACTCTACTTCTGACTTAGTGCTTGAAAACGACGATGATAAGGTAGTGGTTGTGTTTGCAGATGCCGGCGGCGAGCTTGAAGTTGGCGTTCCCTCAATAGGCGGAGTCGTGGGTGGTTGCGGTATGAATTCTGTGGACACTAAGGTGCTAGCAGCCTGGGTGAAGAGTGGGGTCCCCTTTGGATCGAGAAACGTAATAGCAGCTTCTGTTTCGGTGTGATGAACGGTCTTGATCGGGGTGACTACTATCCCTACGGATTCCGCACGCAATGTTTTCGTAGTTGATATCAAGGAAACGGCGGTTCCAAGGCTGACTGGAGGCGCAGACGATGGACTCGAGAGATCGGAATTGGACGAAAAGAGCAATGAGGGCAATGGTGTCTCAGAGACTGATTGAGCGCTGGTCGGAGCGATTGCGGAAGAATTTGCGTAGTGCCCTCCTCTGCCAGAATTGAGTATCCGATAATCAGGGAATAGATAGGCACTTACTCATGTCTTCGGTATCTAGGCGGTACTGGTCCGGCTTTCGAGCTTATAGAAACTGCTGCCAGCAGCAAGAATGTAGAAAAGAAAGTCATTTCCCAATGACTACCGTGATCGGAGAAGAGAAAGTTTCAATTGAGACTCAGGGACTTCCAAAGGAAAGACGCGCGCGTGAGCAGAGAGCGAAGGAAGTGACAATAGCAAAGAATCCGGTACTGGGGCAGAAAGACGATTATGAGCAGCGATCGACGAAAGAAAAAACGCGACACAATGAGAGAACGCGCCTGTCTCAAACAAACGACGGGCTGGACGTGGCCGTGATGCTACGAGACTTCTCTAGGACGTGGTGCTTGTCCATCATCTGGGAGCGAGGTGGTTTTGAAGCTCCATTAGCCGCTGTCTGAGCATAATACATCTAGTGAGACAGTACTGGTCGAGCGTTTCCACAGACATCCTTCTTTCGATGTGTAACGTGGGTTCGTCGAAGATGATTGAGTGGTCACTGGAGGACTGGCGGCGGTTGACCGAGCGAGATCGGTGTCGTTTCATCATTCGGCCAATGAGCGGCGGAGACGCCGAGACCATCCGCCGAAACCTCCAGAGCGAAGCGCTCGACTTACTCGACTTGTAACCGCGATGCTGGGATCAGACAACTCATGGTGAATTCTAACGGTATATTGAGCGTACCAATCTCGCAAGAATGACTGATGGAGCGACAATGCGCCGAGTGTTGAGCCATTTCGCCGACTGTGCGTTCAGGATTTGACCACAGCAACACTATTGATGGTATGCT